TTTTCATGTTATTCTGATAGCACTAACCACGATAGAATCGCCTTCCTCACCTGTCCAGATTAGCTTGTTGCACTATAACTCTTGTCTCTAAAAGCGGGCGCACACTTTTAACTAAACTATCGCAACGCAGTTGTGCGGTTGTCGATTGTTTCGATTCTAAAAATCGAGTAGTGTGCACACCTTTATATAACTATGTGTGATTTTTTTTCTTTTTAAAAGTGTATTTTTTATTTTTTATTTTTGTATAGATATGTGATTAGTACGGCCGGTTACCCTAATAATTAAGTTATATGTTACTTGAGTGCGAAAGAGCCAGCTGAAAATCAGCGCAGGAACGGCTTAGTCCGTCCTGCATACGCTGAGCTGGCTACCTTTTGCCACGATTGTGTTTTCTTTAGAATAAGTCCTTTTATGTAACTTCTATTTTGTGGCAATAAATACATATTCATTCATTCATTCATTCATTCAAACTATAGGAATCAAAGCGCGACTAAACAGTTGTGGAATAGTTAAGTCAAAAGTGTACGCGCTCTCTAGTTTCTTTATAAGAATCTGTGCCAAAAAGTTACCATTTAAATATATTTAGACCTCAAGGTGAATGACCTGTCAAAATACAATCGGAATCGTGTTATTGTTTTGTACCAACCATTCATATTAACGAGTTGCAAACAATCGAAGAAAGAATTTGTTATACCAAATGTATCGCTATCTATAGTAGGGATATGACCTGCATATCATATTTTTAAACATTTTAAACTGTTACCTTCACCTTGATTGTTTTTAGAGACCATTTTCTTAAATATGAGTTTATAAAGGTGTTAAAATTAACCAAAAAAGTGGCAAATTAATTTTTATAAAGAAGTAATATCAAATATGCAAATGGAAAATATTGCTATAATAATTACAGCAGGCAGGATACGAATGTACTATACACCATGAACCTTGGGTGGTCGCCAAAAGTGGGTAGGGCAGCTGCCTTCCAAGAGACACAATACCGAAATAACCGTATAGATAACTCAAAAATGATTTGTCAGTTTTTTCATTAAAAAATAATATTTATGAGCATTCCCTTTGGAAAAAGTTTTTTACTACTAAATCCCCTCGAATAATCATTGGCCTGTCCCTACCCAAGATCATTGGATAGTTACACCTATGGCTTGAACAATTTTCTGGTTCCGAGGACCTAAGAATAACGAACACTTATATAAAAAAACGGTTCATTTTAAGATTTTCGGTTAGATCTGTTCTAAAGCATGTAAAAAGAAGAATGTAAAAAGCAATGGTATAATATGGTGGTGGTAATAATAAAGTTAAGAGCATTGGCTTTTCTCATGATGAAAATCAAAATGATATTTGCAATAAGTCCGCCTACAATAAAATGACTAGCAAAGACACACACACACACACAGGCACAAAACACTCAACAACGCTATCGCACGAAAAAAATGTATGTCATTTTCTTTTCCTTTGTTTTTTTTTATTCGTCATTTTTATAATAGGTAAATTTAATGTGTTTCTTTGTATTTTATGTTTAGACACTTATGAATATGTGGAAATAGTTCACAAATGGGGAAAGGGATTGGCTCCTGCAGCACAGGGGAACCTAGTGCAGGAGCCAAGGCTCTCATGAAATGTGTATATTTTTAAAGTGAAATAATAAAGGATTTATTATTATTATTATTATAATTAGTTCCATATCGCAATATGGCGAAGGTTTTATATCACAGTTCAAGTCATACTTTTGACTTGATTTAATCACTCTTTTTTTTAGGAAAGGGGGACAATGGCTTACTAAATTGGCAAGGTGATAATCGACGCCTATGAGTACCAACTTCATTTGCAAGGAAATGCAGTTGCGTCTTAATGTTATTGTTAAATACATGTTAACAGATGCAGAGCCCATTTTAACATATTCGCACGACTGGGACGGCTCCTCCAGTGCAACAATACGTTGCATAGAAAACAGGCGTGAAGTGGAAGTAACTCCGCGCTTCGTCTGATGAGTCCTTTCCTTTTCTTCATTTTCTTATAAGGATGGGAAGGGAAAGTAGTTTTGTCGGTGAAGGAGATGCATAGAAAGGAGAAATATCCTCTTTATGTACGTCTCGTTCTCCTTTAAGGGCAGGCAACGCATATGCAATTTAAGACATCTGTGGGAAATGGAAATTTAATGAAAAACATGCTTTATATACATTTAAAACGATTTATGTAATTATTTTGTTCTATTAATATATGTACTTACTTTATTCTTATTTAACCATGAGGTTTTTATAGTTTATAGCATAGCTTAGGATGCCTGTGGCAACTTTTCCTGTTTATTTCCTATTTCAATGTGTTCTCCCACCATGCTGCAAGAAAATGGCCGACCTATCAGGCAGTGTTGCGCGGTTTAGTCGGCGCGTGCGCACGCCGATACGGCTGTCGTTTCGTTTAACGAAATATCGAAGTATTAAAAAACTATTTAATAAACGAATATCGAACTGACATGTGTAACTAGTGAATGTGTGTATAGATTGAATTGAAACGTAATTAATGTTTGTTTCTTATAAGTATTGTGCAAAATACTTCGCTGTGTACTTACACCAGCTGTCAAAATACTCGGATTGTTGAGGTAAGTTTTATAACATAAGTAAACTTAACGGATTATAAAAATGTATTTAATAGTAATATAAGTTAGAAATAAATGTAAAATCGATGTAAGAATGATGGAAATTGACAATTAAACTATATATTTGTATTCTTATTTGACTTTTCTAGAAAATAATACCAGCAAATGTTGAGGCGTCTTTTTATATTGTGTGGAAAACAGTCAAATAAATTATACTACAAACCCTACATAGTATTGTTTTTCGCTATGACTTTTATAGGTTTTATATACAGCGTTTAACGAGTAAAAACATATTATGTTCTCTATTTTATATAAAAGTGTTTAAAATTGTTAATATCCCGCGTAGGTTTTTACATCGTAATAAAAGGCCATAGAAATTTTTGTATGCTGTAAAAATGTTTGATCTACGGAGTTTAAAAAGATATTAAAAACATTTAGGTCATGGGTGTTGTAGAAAAATTTCATTATATTTTTCAAGTATTAAATCCGGAGCTTTTCTAAGCTCATGATATCGGGTATGGTTTTTTGAGGTTAAACAAATAGACGTAAATCTACATAAAAAATCATAACAACTTTAAATTATCTTGAAAACTCAGTTGAGCTTTTAAACCGCTTTCAAAGCTTTATTACACAACGTAGTTACTATTAAAGTTATTATAATGTAAATAACTTTGTTCGAGTATAAGTAGACAAAGAGAAAAACAATATCTATGAGATTATTAACTATACGTTTTCCGCTGACAGTGTGACCACACATTATCTTTTTGATGTAATAATCTAGCCTATTGACGAATAAGCAATGAGATAATTTGTTGTGTAACGACGCACCTGGCCGGATCCAAAGAGCCAATCGCTGGATCGTATCTTGTGCGTATAATAACACTACCTACCACCATCATGCTACCGGTAGTTTGTTAACTTCGTTGATATACTATCAGTGAGATAAACTATAAGAAAGTTGTGTACCGAATAACATGACAGTGGAATTCGAATAAAACGGAAGTGGTATATTATTTAAGATCCACGTGATAGTCGTAAAATATAATCACATGATTTTGTAAAAAAAATAGTTTTTATAATATAAGGTGTTAAACGAGCAAGCGGCTACCTGAATCCACCGAAATAGAAAGCAACCGCTGCCCATAAACATCCGCAATTGCAGATGCGTTGCCTACTCTTAATTGACGGAGTAGGAGATGTCCATAAGGAGGACATTTCCCCTTCCTATGCGTCTTCTCTACTGTCAAATCCACTTTTCCTTCCCATCCTTTCATCTTAAAAAAGGGTGGAATGGGAAAGGGACTAAAATTAGGCCTCCGGCACCACACTCGTCAGACGAAACGCGGAATTGCACTTCACGCCTGTTTTCTGTGTGGTCGTGGTATTACACCGGGCGAGCCGGCCCAACAGTGCGAAGATATTAAAGCGGGATATTAAATCTATCCTTTTCGTTATTCGCAGACTGTAGTATATGAAATGCGTGTGTAGATTATAATCTAGCGATGTCAAATCTTTCGGTGACGTGCATATTAAAGTATGCAAATAAATCCACTTGTATATAGTATGTTGCATAATGAGCAAACAAGACGATTGTAAGACAAAAGAACCTTCAGCAAACGATTAATTAAACAGAATAACTTTTACAAATATGCATTCGTTTGCAAGGTTAACAAGACTCCAATTTATTGATGTTTTATCGAATTCTCTGTCACAGTTGCAATAATTATATGCAGTGAAAGGTCTAAAATACGTTTTTGTTTCTGTGTCCAACACATCCTTACCATAGTTTTATCTAGGAATCGTTTATATCACTACATGTAAAATAAAGTCTGTCTGTCCCTATGTAAGGTAAGAAGTTTCAAATTACGCAACGCATTTTGTTGCCGTATTTTAAAAGATGGAGTAATTCAAGAGGAAGGCTTTCATGAATAATTAATACATGTATGAGACAGTAGCGAAATACTAATAAATTTTTGAGTAAACAATCGCACAATTGTTGTGCGATTGTCAATTGTTTCGTAGCCAATTCAACTGTTTATTTGCACAACTAAATTTCGAGCTATGTGCGCACCTCCATATAAACTCATAGGAATCAAAGCGAGACTAAACAGTTGTGCTATAATTTAGTTTCAGGTGTGCGCACGCTCTTAAGGTTTATGTAAACACATTTTCGTATCATATCGGACCCGTGCGAAGCCGGGGCACAAGTTGCATATAAATTATATAAATATTATCAGTACCAACCGGTGCCCTTTGCATCAGAATGTCTGCTGAGCAAATTAATCACTCGCTCTTAATGTGTTGACATTCATCGAAGGTCAGACGCTGGAATTTTTAAAGGCCTCAGCTACGTGCGCTCGCTTTCAATTATATTTCACACTTATAACAAAAAATAACAACTGTTTCAACACAATCTGAATATTTTTAATATCGAAATAATTACGTATAAATTTGACGAAGTAAAACAACTCATTTTTTCAAACGACGTAACAAATTCAATATGACATAACATCAAACCTTCCGAATATAGGAAACAAGCCTACTTAAAACACTTTCCCTCATACACCATTCATTGCTTCATTAAAAGTTGATGATACATTTTATTATCATTTCCAAACAGCAATGTATACTTAAAAGAAATCGAAAGCGACGATCACAAAGGCTATGAGTAGGTGCTTCTGACTTATAAGGACAGTTGTACCCAATAAACAGGTCGACGGATCAATATGATGTAATTTATTTAGTTTTATAGCCAGTTACACAAATGTAGATTGTTTTTAACTCTTCCTTGGGATGATATACTCTAGCAGTGACACAACGAATGTTCACCATATATCACCTTACTACTAAATATTGCTCTCTGTAATACGACCACTTCAAGGTCATACTGACCCTTTGATTTACTATTAATGTGTTTTGAAAATCACCTGTCACTAGTTTTAACTAACGGGTGATCTCCTTAACTGATATATCAAGTAACAACGATGTGAGCGGTATTATTTGCACCATTAATAAAACTGTATAAAACATTACAAACATCGATATTCCGTTTACTTGTGAATAAACGAGTCGTCTACAAAGTTATTCCTAACATTAACATAACTGATGTCATATCTATAGTCATCCGCGTAACTTAGAAAACCATTGACTATAGAAATATGGACAAGGCAAAAACTGACACAGTTGCACTGAACATTATTCATGACTGCAATTTCCGCGGAGGAAATGACACAAACTTCAACTGGAAGACAATTTATAAAACTCAATGAGAGCACTGGATAATATACACACATCAAACTAGCGTACAATAGAACTTTAAAAGTTATTGTTCGTTTTTGTTTAACAAAGGTTAATGGCTGGACAGGTCCTGTCTCTCAAACGTCAATGTTTATAGTCATCCGCGTAACTTTGTACTTATAAAACAAAGGAAATGCCAAGCGTTCGCGAGATTTTCACATAGTACAATTTTGAGCGCGATTGTATCTTGGCAATTTGCGGCAATTTGCATAGATGGCGGATTATTATGAATTTATCACTTGATGACGATAAACTTGTCTTGAACGTGCGAAGTATTAAATATTACATTATTATGCTGCAAAGTTTTACCATCTAAGATACGCCTACGAGATGCGCTATCCTGAATTTTTAGGTTAAATTCTACGCTGTCAGTTATCGTTGGAAGTTGAATTTATGTATTAAAAAAGTTACACGAAACCTTAGTGATCACATATAATATCAACGGAAAACAATCGACAATCGCACAAGCGTTTGTCGATTGTTTCTACTAAAAATTGAGTAGTGTGCGCACCTCCATATGAGCTTATAGGAATTATAATTAGACTTAACAGTTGTGCCATAATTTAGTCAATAGTATGCGCGCCATTTTAGTTCATTTCGAATGTGAAGTTTTATTCTTTTAACGATTTCGATTTCTTTATTCTCTAATGTAATAATGACAAAGAAATCCAACCTCTTAAATTCAACCTAACGCGCTATATAATTTGAAAAGTTAATCTCAAATTTGGTAATCTTATTAGCAAACGTTGATTGACGATTTTTCCATTACGATTGTAACTCGATTGATGGATATAGATTTCGAATCGCATCGAGTTTGTGCAATCGACACATTTCCTTGCGACATTTGGAGCCACCGCATTTCATAAAGTGTTTCTAAATATAATATGGCATTGAATTTATTTATATCGAATGCCATATGAAATAATTCAGTTTCTTATAAAACTTGTTTCCATTTTATTGAATCGTCTTACATTCGAATATGTGATAGTGATCTAAGAAACTTTCGATCTACAGAACCTCGATAACTTAAAAACCTCTCTAACTTCAAAAAAAAATATGTTTCCTTCCTATCAGACCTCAAAACCTCTACAACCTATGTTGTATGGTCTATACCCTTGATAACTTAAAACGTTTATAACTTAAAATATTTTGTGTTTCCCTTGGACTTTAACTTATCGAGGTTCTAATGTATTAAAAAAATCCTTTCTGTTGATTCTTGCCAATAATTTGTGTATGAAATTTGAATTTGGAATGCATTATAAGCAAACCTTTACGGGTCACTCCTTTCTCCGTAAACCACAAGTCGGTCGATTCGGACGATTAAGAGAAAGGCTAATGAGATGAATTAAGAAGGCTTGTCAGGGCACGTACCAAATTACAATCCCACACGACGTACCGAACCTGTATACCACAATTTTTAAGCGAGTCGTGCATGTGAAATGGTTCATTTCCACTTTAAGAAACCGACATATATCACAAACATTTGAGTTAATTAGCTTGTTTGAAATATTTTTTTAAAACTTTGTTTTAATTAAAAAGATAACTACTTACTAATAAAAATTATTACCATGAAGTCGTAAACATTGCTATCAGTTGTTATAATTTTTGTCACTTTTTTAGAGACATGATCATTATGATATACAAATTATGTAAATGTTATTGAAATATTAATTTATTGATTTATGACGTGGTTAAAATTTAACTAC